TATATATATAAATAAATCAATTTGTTGAGATTTCTAAACAAAACCGTTGTTCAATAAAGGCATCAAGGAGCCATCTTACTATAAAGTTTCATTTTGTTTCGCCATTTCCTTATATTTTAGGCAATCGTTTTTGTTGTTGTTGTACTTTTCTCAACATTTTAAAGATTGACCTAGGAATTAGTAAAATGACACTGACGAAATGACATAAAATTTAATATCAACATTGAATGGCGATGCAGTCTTTACAACTTAAGGGACCGGGCGTTACATTTACTTTTTCCTTTCTGTTTGTAAAGACAATCATAAAAACTTTAGTGTACATTAAATAATCAAAAGGATTATCACCTTTATAACGGTTGAATGATTGTCTGCCCTCTGACTTCCTTGAATAAAAGCAACATTACTCTAATATGAGTAAAATGACACTTCCAAGAGAATTAATTTGCTTTCGATATGTTACATAACATATTTTCTCTTGTTGTCTGAACGCTGCTTTGAATGATCTATATTGGTAATTTTTTTAAAAATGCAGATAGGCTACAGTATCATAATTGAGAACCGATTCCACCATTTCTGCAAAATGAACATCAATAGTCACAGCCGAAAACGTTAAAATAGGCAAGTTTTATGAACAACATTAACAGCAACAAAAAACCAACAAAAAACCAACAAAAACCAACAACATAAGACATAGATTAAAAGTTGACCTACAAAAAGATCCAACTTTCAAAAATCAAAACATAATACCAGCGTAAGCCTACATAATACATCATATCAATATCTTATAGGTTTTCAACTCACCTTTTGGTTAAATGTCTGGTCCATGGCATTATGTCAACAGGGTTTCCTGCTCCTGCAAAGGCCATGAACTCTTCGTTTAGGTTGACCAGCCGAAGGAAATCTGCATCATCTCGTCTGCCAGAGGAAAGAGAAAAAGGCAGATAAACAAAGAATGCACATAAAATTTTGACTTTTGGTCTAAATTTAATAGAATGATGATAGTAGTAATGCAATCTTTCTGAAGTACCGGTGTTTGCCGTCTGCTTTTTCTAACATGTGCTGAATAGTTGACTTTGTTAAAAAAGAACCTTTTCTTAATTCAGAATATTCTCTACCATCATAAAGACTCTGTCTTGGAATGAAGCGTTAGGCGCTCCTTTAGCTCAGTTGGTATCATGCAGGACATCGGAGCGGGTGGCCCTTTTTCGAATCCCAGATTGGGTGTTCTTGAAATCGGGTTGTTTATTGAAGTTTTTAAAGCTCTCAAATAAACCCTAGCTCTCAACCCATTTGACTTGGTCCTATCGGAGATGGATGTTAAATTTGGATATCCCGCCTCTTGAATATCCCAAAAGGGTATATTGGGGCGTTGAACCCATACACCTACTTATCTTTTTCTCTAATGAAGCATTCTTATCAACCAACCAGTTGCTTCAAGTCCATGACACTATACAGACTCACCTGTACCTCTTGCCAAAACATATGGCACAGATAATGCTCCCAACAGACAGGTAGATCTCAGTGTGTGGATCCTTGGGTTGGAGATTGGAGTTTAACAGCCGGGACACGAGAACGTCGGCCTCTGATGCGATAGTGGCTTCAATTGGATTTGTTTTCTTGTTGCTCAAACTAGCCAGAGCATTTTGAGCGATCCTGTTGGGCCATGAAGAGAACTGTACGTGTACTACCTATGCATGGCGATTATTGAGTGATGTTTTTATCTAGCAAATGACAAATGAAAGAGAAAAAATGACTGCAGAGACATTGCAATGCTTCGCTTGAAACGCCACCCAGGTACCAATTTAACATAAACGTTAACATATGATAAAATCCAAAGCATTTTGAAAAAAAATAAAAAAATGAATGTCTGATTTCTTCAGTCTCTTGTATTTTAGTTTCCCATTTCCAAACATGATTACCTACCTCCGCGTCAGTACAATAGCGACAATGTTAATATGTCTTCAGTCCCAACCTAAGGACCAGTTAAATCTCCCCACTCTCCCTTTCCAATAAACCAGGATGCAGAATTTGCCCTTACAAGGAAAAAATCACCAATACAGCTCAAAAAAATTATTGCCTATATTCTCTGAGGCTCTAGCTAGATTAGTAACTGTTACAGCAGAGTTTCCTTTCACCCCTTGCTGCTGAAGATTCGTTTCTATTAACGAGATATCGCAACTCTCTCTGTGTACCGGTCGCCACTATGTATGTATATAATATTATGCACTTCAATTGTATACATCTCTTCTATCCCATCAAACGAGACTCCCCCCAACCCCCCCAACCCCCACAAAAAACCCCAAAACAAAACAAAAACAAGAACAAAACAAAAACAAAAACAAAAAATAACAATAACAACAAATAACATAACCAACCAAGCAATCAACCAACCAACCAACCAACCAACCAACCAACCAACCAGCAAACAAACAAACAATAAAAAACAAACACTAAAACGCCAACAAAACCAACCAACCAAACAAACAAACAAACAAACAAAACCCCCACGACTTACACAAAACTACCAAACAGCAAATACAAATCCCCCCCAAAATGTTTAAGCTAAAGAAAACAACCCAACAGCTATTTTTATTTAGTTCCTTGGTAACCTTAGTTTGTCAATGTAATTTTTATCTCTCGTCTTTTTTTTTCTGTCCACAACTGTGCGTCATCATTCCCGTCAAGTTTTCAAATTTGTGTAGTTAGTTTTGTTTGTGCTTGACGTCAAGACCAGTTCTCAAGTGCTATACTCTCTGATAGCATGCATCAGTCCTACTTATCCATTGCCAACTAAGCTTGCAGTTCATAGGACCACTGTTTGACCTATTAAAAACAGAAACAACAGAACATCATCTTTGCTTTCACCCTTTAGCCGCACCCATCAGCGCAATAAGCACAGTCAACCAATGCCACCCCTCACTGCCATTTAACAATGATTCCAGGAACTCTTATATAGATTCTATATAT